CTTTGTTTCCCCCCCCCCCCCTTGTCTCATAATGAATATAATTGGCTTCATAGAAATGTCTTCCTCTTGGAGGCAGGGTGGGGGAAGGGGAAGCTAAAAGTAAAATTTTCTCTCTTTTAGTTTTTGCTCTAATTGTTATCAGCTCTGTTTTTCTTCTGCATTGGAACCTGTTGAGGTGTGGAGAAGTTGAAACTAAAACATTAGTTTATTCTTGGGATTTTTTAAACCCTTACTCTCAGGGTTAGGCTGCTCCTAAAATGTAACCTTTCTTTTTCAAACCTCTGAAATTTGTTTACTCCACAGAGATCATTAAACAAGGAATTTTCCCAGATTTTCCAGTTTTGGTTTTACTTTATCTGTCTCAGTCAGTGGAATAACCAAGATTCACACAAGTCAGAAATTTTAGTGTCATACTTCATAGAAAGAGGAAGGGCTTCCCTACATAATTTGCCTACTTTTTCAAATTCCTAACTTGCTATTTAGATGTTTCATGCTATCTAACTTACCATATTTACTTGATTCCGAAATGAGGATTTGGGGGGACCCTCTTAGAATTAAGTATGAGGGCAGTAGGGGCAGGGTTCAGAGGCAGCTGCTGTAACTTGGGCTCCAGTCCCTACCCAGGGTTGGGGCCATAGCTGCAGCTGCTCCCTGCGCCCCCCTGCTGCCTCTGAACCCTTCCATCTTTCCCCTGCAGCTCCTTCCTCCTGCCACATACCCTTTGCTTTCCCACTTGCCCCTCTCCCCCCTGCACTTCCTTTTCTACACGTGGCTGCTCTGTAGGCTGGGCATGGGCCATACTCAGTGCCTCAGGCTAGAATGGGGACATAGCCTGCCAGCGTGGGGAGCAGAGGCTGCAGAACAGATGCAAGCTGCTTGATCCTCCTAACACCATTTGCCCCCTTGCAGCAGTGGGGGGGAAGAATTAAAGCTGACCCTCCCAAAAGTTAGATTCTGTACACAGAAAATTATAACCAATTCATACATTTTTCCATGTATAGGATCTTACGGGGCGGGGGGGTCATACATATAAAATTCATACGTTTTAAATTCAGGGCAGTCTTAGATTCAAGTAAATACAAGTTTTTGCTAGGTCCACATTCATAGATTTCTCCAATAGAACAGGTATTTTTTTTTCCTTCCAACAGTTCTGGTTTGGTGTTTATCACAGACTTTCTTGGCATTTACTTGGCTGCTTATAAATCTTATGCATCATTATGGAAAATGAGTTTTTTCTGCATCCCTTCCTTTTAATTAAGAATTCAGTGTGATGTAGAAAAATGGGAATTACTTAGTGCAATATGATGTTTGCCAATTCTGTTGGCTTTCTTTTTGTCATATGTTAAGTGTAAAGATACGTTGATTATCTTGGTCCTCAGTTTTTTTAACACCTTTATGTTGTTAAATGCCATCAGCTCGAATACCGCATCTATGGCATTTGAATAATTGTTTCCATTCTCTTGCCTTTATTCAGGTTGGTGAGTTTTAACTACATTTTTTTTTTGATTGGCTAAATATTTAAATCTCTTGATTCTTTACATTTATTTCCTTGTTTCTATAAATTTAACTGTATGTGTCTTAAAAAATAGAGAGAACACTGCTCTTCTACTCATAACACTGATTATTAAGCTTGGATGCCTGAATAAGAGGCATCCTTGTGGGATCTGTGGGTACTCCACCTTTCTGAAAATTCTTCTTTTTTTTTTTTTTTTTTCAGGATTCCCCCTTTTTTTGGGGGGGGGGGGGGACTCAAAAAGGGATTGAGGTGCCCTATTCAGATACCCTATTTGGAATTTTGTTCTAGAGCTGGTTCCTTGGTATCTCTCTCCCCCTCCTGCCTCCCCCCTTCTTAGTTTATAAGCTCTTTGGTGTTTTTTAATGTATATTTAATTTTACAAATAGAGGGAAACATGAGTTTGCATTGGTAATGAATCTTTAAAGGGTTTTTAAATTCTTACTGCTGATTGCACACCACCTTTGTTAGGAAGATATTATTGATAGGAAAGGTTAACTGAAAACGTGCAACTTCAAAACAGTTTGTTGGGCTGCATATAGACATTCATTTGTACCAGTAGAAATTTCTTCACGGAGGAAAGTAGCCTGGGAGCTGGACCATACAGACATTCATTTATCCAGCCCCATGTCTGGAGAGCTTCATGGGCCAGCGCTAGAGGGCTGCTCCTTGCTTCCCCCTGCCTCCCGTATTCCTCTTCCCCACCATTAGGGTAGTTCATTACTTAATGGCCAGTCTTCTCCTGTGCCTGGGAGTGGGGCAGGCTGTCAAGTGGTAGTTGACAGCTGCTGAAAAAACAGCTGGCAGAGACCTAGACCCTGGAGTGTTTCAGTCTGGGAGACTGCCGCCCCTCTGCAGTACCCCCTCCCCCCATCCCACTAATCAGCTGATAGGCTGAACTTGTTTAACTGCAGTGAAAATAAACTATATAAAACTGGCAAGGGTTAGATGTAGTCCCCTGCTATTTCTGTTCTAAAAGAAGCACTGTTTTGTTGTTGCTGCTGCTGTTTTTTAATGGTATGTATGTTTGCAGATGGACCTTCAACTGATAAAGATTCTGAAGAAAAGAAAAAAGAGCCTGCGTCCTCATCACAGAATAGCCCTGAAGCAAGGGAAGAAAGGTATGCTATCTTGGAAGTCTGTAAAAATGAATTGGCACTAGAAATTTAGTTTAATATTAAACCGGAAGATTCAACCTTTACATAGATGTTCCCCAAAATATTTAATCTTTCTATGTCCTTACCTTGTCGTATCTATAAATGGGTGTCAGTTGGGTCATTTTAGATTGAAGAGGCAAAGGCTACTGTAACTGATGCCAGTGCCTACCTCCTTTTTGTGCTGTTAGTTGCAGAAATAAGTTGCCATACTTAGACTGCACTAGCTTAGTGGCTGCTAGGCCAGGTAGCTATTTGATCTCTTGTTAAAATAGGCATTCTGCTTACAGACCTCATAGAATCATAGAAAGTTAGGGTTAGAAGGGACCTCAGGAGGTGATCTAGTCCAAGCCCCTGTTCAAGGCAGGACCATCCCAAACTAGATCATCCCAACCAAAGCCGTCTACCTGGGTCTTAAAAACCTCCAAGGATGGAGATTTTGCCACCTCTGAGTAACCTTTTTCCAGTGTTTTACTACCCTCCTAGTGAGAATTTTTCCTAATATCTAACCTAAACTTCTCTTACTGCAACTTGAGACAGTTGCTGCTGCTTCTGTCATTTGCTTCCACTGAGAACAGTTGAGCTCCATCCTCTTTCATACCCCCCTTCAGGTAGTTGAAGGCTGCTATTAAATCCCTTTTCAGTCTCCTCTTCTCCAGACTAATGAGCCCAGTTCCTTCAGCCTGTCCTCATAAGTCATGTTCCCCAGCCCCCTCACCATGGTTGTTGCCCTCCATTATACTGTTTCCAATTTGTCCTCATCCTTTCTGTAATGGGGTGGGGGTGGCAAAACTGGGCGCAGTACTCCAGATGTGGCCTCATCAGTGCAGAATAGAGGGGATTAATCACTTTCTTTGATTTGCTGACAACACCAGATTTGCTGATGCAGACCAGTATGTTGCTAGCCTTTTTGGCAACAAGGGCATGCTGTTGGCTCATATTCAGCTTATTGTCCACTGTAGCCCCCAGGTCCTTTTCTGCAGAGCTGCTGCCTAACCAGTCAGCCCGCAGCCTGTACTGGTGCTTGGGATTGTTCTGTCCTAAGTGCAGGACTTTGCACTTGTCTTGTTGAACCTCATGAAATTTCTTTTCGCCCAGTCCTCCAATTTGTCTAGGTCACTCTGAATCCTAGCCCTACCCTCCATTGTATCTACTGCTCCCCACAGCTTGGGATCATTTGCAAACTTGCCGAGGGTGCACTCAGTGCCATCTTCCAGATTTGTCTACTCAGTGTTCTTGCTCTTAAATGTTTTCTACCATGATTCTTTTCTAGTTAAAATAGGTTGTTTTATTAAACATCTGTTTTTCAAGTAGACTTTATGTAATTCTTTCAAGTTTTCTTTCTTTGTTTCACTGTTGCTTTCTTAATATATTGTATATGTAAGAAGGCCACAAAATCTGTGTAAGCTTTGAACAGACAAATGAAACATTAACTTTGTCATGTGCTTTTTTTTCCTTTTAATGTCTTTAAGTAACAAATAAATGGACATACTTGTACAGTAAACCTGGTTGGAATTTCTTAAATGGTAGAATTAACTGAAAGATGGTATGGCAACCTACTGACATGATTGCTAGTAGGCTAAGATCAGAAGTTGAAAAATTTAGCAAACATTGATTTTTTTGTTTGTTTGTGTTGTTTTGGTTTTTTTTTTTGTTTTTTTGTTTTTTGGGTTTTTTTTGTTTTTTTTGTTTTTGAAGGGGTGGGGAGAGGATCTAGAGTTCTGTGTAAGGCAAGTATAGTGATTATATATAGCAGTTAAGAATGAAAGGTATAAAAGGGGGTGCCCAGAGCTAGCACTCAGTCGAGAGGGTACCTGGTTGTTTATTCACCTTGACCTAGATTGGGCAAGATATTTCTAGGATACTATAGATTTCAGATGCTAGACTATTTGCTTTATTCTTCATTATTCTTATTTATTTTCAGTCTGATATATCAATATATCTTTTTTAATTTTAATAAATGTATAAAATTTATCATGTGCCCTTGCTGTGCGTCTCCTACTCTTTAACCCTCAACCTGTAGCAGAAGTGGACAAGTGTATGCAAATCTTCAAGCTGTCCCCAAGTAAAACCCTTTAAAAGGCTACATAGCTCTGTCAGTTGACAATGTTGCCTCCTTTTTCCTTCAGTATACTGAAAATATATATATATATAATATGGCCTCAATATTACCCAGCATGGTATTTCTTTGTCCCTTTTGCTGAAGTTGTGTTCCATGATACCAACTGGTTTTCACATTGATGAAGAGTCAAGAGAACTGAGAATTAAGACTTTCCAGATGAAATGCTAGGTGCCACAGAGAAATAAGCATGTTGAGGGCTTTTGGGGTTTATTTTATTTATCTGGGGGTTTTTTAAGTTTAATCATATCTGTTGCTCTAAGTAGCTGTGCAAGTATTCTGTTATGGGAATATTGTTGATTTGGATTTCAAGATGAAAAAGTTTTTGATGTAGGATGAAACTGGGGAGAAAGTGTGTCATGCCAACTTTCTGTTTTTTGACCCATTTTAGCAGTTCCAGTAGCAACAACAGCAGCAGGAAGGAAGAGACTAATACTCCCTCAAATTCCTTCATCCATTCTCATCCTCGGGCTCCAGTCACTACAGATTCTGTTCGAATGAAGTGTAGAGAAATGCTCGCTGCAGCTCTCAAAACGGGAGGTGAGCTATATTGAGTTTACTTCTGATATTCATTTAATTTTGTTTCCTCCTGACTGTTTCAGACCAGTCTGAGTCGTGTATAGCTAGGTCAGTTGGTTTGTGTGTAGGTTCCTCCGAATTAGCAGAACTCGGTAACCCTGGCAACCTGGAAACATACTGAGGTACTTTTCAGTGCCACTGATGCCAGAGCCATTTTATGTTGCAGTGTATCTGACATCTGTGGTCCAACAGCAAAATTTTTTATGATGCATTCTAGCCATTGCTGCTTTGAAGCTTTGCATGACTCCCTTTCATAGAAATGTTATTTTTTTTTCTATCATATTTTTGTGTTTTTAGGGTACTGCTATGTGCATGAACTTTTACTTTCCCTTCTGCCCCCTCTCAATTTGAGATTACAAATTCTGGTTGCCAGAAATCTCCATTTTAATTTAAATTTAATGTGTACATTGCCCTGAGATCCTGACAGTTAGTCTCATCTTCCAGACACTTGCAAACAATTTCATGCTCTCAGCCTTTATGCAAACTACTATGCAATTTTATCTCTTGTAATATTACAGTTCAAAATTTACTCACATTTCAATTATCCCTGTATCAATGGGAACAAACTTTCTGCACTGTCTTTCGGCTTTTGTGATTAAAACTAGGACATAGTAAAGACTCTTTGCTAGATTTTTGGACATGATGCTTCCCTATTTAGGTGAAGCTTGTGTATAAAATTATTTAAAAGTGTATGTTGGTGAAAAAAGTAAAAGGAACAAGGTGCAACATAAAGTTATACACTCTTGAAAAGCCTCATCTTTTTATATGCAAGTAGTATGAGTTTTTTCAGTTCATCCCTCTCTCACTAGAGAAACTCAAGACTATCCTCTTTCTCTCTTAACATCAGGATAACATGAAGTTTGAAGAGATCATTTTTCTAAATGCCTAATCATTCCCTTTGAATTTATAATAAATGGACTTCGGTTCAGAAGCAGCCAAAGCATCTAACTGGAAATTAAATGGTTGCTTAAAAAAAGGAAGTGGGGGAGGAGGGGGGGCAGTAAAGGATCCTAGATCACTTAAATAACTCCTGAACATTGTGTAGCATAAACCTAGAAATGTCTTTGGAAATTTATAAAAAATTATTGGGAATTTTAACAGATTACACAGAATTATTTCTTATAAGAAAAATGAAGATATTATTCTGTGTTTTGGCAGAATTTTGGGGTAGAGGCTTATCACTGCCTACTTGTGCAGCAAGAGGGGAGAATAGTGACTGTATATCTAGCTGACCACGTACCTTAACATGTAAATGTGCAACTGGAGATGAAATTAAGGAAATGTTGCAAGAGTGTCTTGTGTTCCAGGACAGTTAATATTTCTCTTTTTCACTAAAACCTTAGCTCAAAGACTTCTGAGATGAGGCATTTCAGGCCAAACCTGCATGCTGTCTTCAGTGTGCTTAAGCATTCTTTAACTTCAGTTTGTCTGCTTTCCCTGTTTTTAACACCCAGTAAGCCAGTTTCTGTAGTCAAATTATTGACCCTCGTGTCATCTGTGTGAATTCATACCAAAAAGTTTTCACAAACTATGTATCCATACTACCTTGAATGGAATATTTTCACTCGTATTGATGTTGACCTAGCGAAAGAGAATGTTTCAGTATTTTTCAGGGTAGAGATTAGCAGTTGTCAAACTGAATGTTCAAGGCATAACTGATAATGTAAAAGTCCTTTGTATAATACTTGCACCCATATTTTAGCTCCAGATGAAATGTGTGATTTGAAAGCCTGTGCTTTTCTACTATCTGGATATCTTTGTCTTCTCTATTCTGCGAAGTAATACATTAAACGAATTTTGTAATCATAAAAATGCAGTTTGCTTACTTTTTAGCAAATAGAAAATTCAATGTGCTTATAGCAGGGGTGGGCAATTATTTTGGGCAGGGGGCTGCTTACCCAGTTTTGGCAGGCTGTCAAGGGCTGTATGGGTAGTCCTGCCCTGTGACAGGTGCCCCTAGTCACCGTCTTGGGACCAGTGACCCAGGGCCAGCACTGGTGGGGCCCAGAGTGGGGCATAGGCCAGCAGGGGTTGTGGAGCCGGGCTGGGCTGCACCAGCAGGGAGGGGGGAGCTGGCCCAGCCCAGCTGGGTCCCTATGCTCCTGCCCCCCTGCTCTGGCCCCCACTGGCACTGGCCTTGGGACACTGGTGCGGGCTCTGTGCTCCCGCTGGCTCCCCGCCCTCACTCCCAGTGCCCCCCAGCCCCACAGTACAGGCGGGGGGGCAGCGCTCAGCCCCGACCCCCTGCTCGCCAGCAGGGAAAAAGCTGGTGCTGAGCGTGGAGAAAAGTGGCCCCTCGCCTGCCCCATGGCTGGATGCAGGCTGCAAGCAGCTGCAGCGTGGGGCAACAGGTGTGGGGTGGGGAGGTGCTCCCCCCCTCCCAAACATTCCTTCCTTGCCTGGGGTCCCCCCCATGGCTGGTGCTCCCTGCTGCAGGCGCTTACAGCCTGTGCAGAGTTGCCTGGAGAATGCACAGGCAGCCTCATGTGGGTTGCAGGTGGCTGCAGTGCGGGGCATGGGGTGGGCGCAGGGCCACTTTTCTCCACGCAGGGAAGGAGCCCAGGGAAAAGCTGGGGGGGGGGGCAGCAGCCCCTCCCCGCCCTACACCCGGTGCCCCATGTCACAGGCGCTTGCAGCCCGTGTGGGGCTGTCTGGAGCAGGCACAGGCAGCCCCATGCAGGCTGCAAGCAGCTGCAGCGTGGGGCAACAGGTGTGGGGTGGGGAGGTGCTCCCCCCCTCCCAAACATTCCTTCCTTGCCTGGGGTCCCCCCCACCTTACCTGAGCTTCCTGCGCTGGGGCAGCCACATGCTCCAGCCCAGAAACTCCGGCTGGGGCTACCAGCTGGGGGGTGGGGCCAGGCGGGCCCTGCTGTGGTGGGAGCGGGCAGAGGGCCACTTAATGAGTTTCGGCAAACCATCGAGGGCCACATGACAGGCAGCCCAGGGCAGGTTAACTAATTTTCTAAATTTTTTTTTTTTTTTTTAGGGGCCCTGCAGGCTGGATAAAATGGCCATATTTTGCCCACCCCTGATTTATAGCATAACTTGCTCTGTTCCAGAGTTAATGGATAGTTAAGATTTTTGAGCATAATGACCTCCTTTCAACATGGCTAATACTCAAACTTGTGTCTTCTTCAGGTGATTACATTGCTATTGGTGCTGATGAGGAAGAACTGGGTTCTCAGATTGAAGAAGATATCCTTTGCTGTAAATACAAATGCTCTAGAACAAGACTGTTGGTTGAAGGAGTTAGAACACTTTTTTTTTTTTTTTTTTTTTTTTTTACAGCTGTGTTTTCCATGAAACGTTGTTTCCATTTAAAAGAAAAGCATCCTCATTCTGCTCAGCCAAGATATGTGAAGTTTAGCATGAATGAAGCAGTTTAAATCATGTACAAACAACAAATTATGTAAATTCTTACAGTTGGTATTTTTAATCCTGCTACTAGCAGCACCAGAGGCAGATATAATTTTAGGCACTTGTATGTTCCCATAATTTTGGCTGAGGTTTTACTGTGAAAAATCATGCGAATATCGAGGTGTTTAATCCTATTTTTACTTTAATAACTTCACTCTGTCAGCAGAGCAAATACTATACAGATAGCAATAATCTAATCTACCCGACTGTCTTGCTGATGTACCTTTTATAATTAAAGCCTGACTTGTGAAAGGAGTATAGTGCTTGCATTGAAAACTTTTGGAAGCTTCATTTAAATTTTAAAATTCTGTTGTGGTAGTTTTAGTGCTCAGTTATCAAATGCAGCATTAATTTAAAATTAATTCAACCTCTCAGCAGAATTCAGGGTTCTGGCTTTTTATTTATTGGAGGTTTCCAGAAGCCTAATAAAGGATCTTTAGAGGGGGAGATCAAAGAGATCACATTGCAGTCACTAGATGCTCAACAAAATTTTCTTACTGTCTTGATAATCTTGGTCTGTGTTGAACAGAGAAATTAGTATAGTCATTTCAAGCTCCGTCAGCAGTTAGAGGAACAAATCAACAAATGTAAACTTTTTGGGCAGAGGTAAGTGAAGCAATAAAGTAACGTATTTTGTTCTCTGTGGGCATGTCTACACGTGCCCCTACAGCACTGGAAGTACTAAATGGTGGCACAGTAACAGCCTGTACTGCGCTGTCGGTGGTGCACGCTTTTTTTAAGCTGTTACGTCACCATAGCAACACTATTGAGGGAGCGCATTGTTATGGCAATGTAGCTGTGGTTTCACGGTTTGCGCCCACCGGTGCTATGTCGCCGTAATGTGTTGCTATGGCACTGGAGCGTCTCATGTAGATGTGCCCTGTTTTACTTGCTAATGCTATGTTCCTTAAGTCCAAAGCACCTATATTTCAAGAATTAAACAACACTGACATGAAATACAAAAATAGGGTACGAAGTAGGATAGCAAATCTCAAGGATCCGAAGAATCCTAATCTAAGAAAAAATGTCTTATGTGGAAATATACCTCCAGACATGTTTGCAAAAATGACAGCTGAGGTAAGCAAAGATTACTCTTTTATGTGATTGAACATTTCTGTAAGTTTTGTAAGGCTTGTATGAAATGTAAAAGCTGGTCAAGAAGTAACCAAAAGTGAGCATAGGGCTCTTGTATAATTGGAGTTATATTCTACTGAAAGTATAGCTCACAGAGGGATAACAGGCTAATTCTTAAAACTATAATGCATACGTAAGGGAAAAGGCAGTTAGAATATGCATTTAAAGGCAGTTCAAATGTGCAGGTGCTCCAGGGGGCATGCACAGAAACTGGATATACTAAACTTTTTTTTAATTTCAACATGTACCCTTCAAATTCTAGGGGGTGGTGCTGGGACATGTTGCCTAGAAGGTGTGCAGGGGAGGCACGGTGGAGTCCTGATACTGACCCTGATCTGCCAAGTCATTCCTTTGCCACTTGGGATTTTCTGCAGTTTAGTCGGCAGCTCTACCAAGCTCCAGGGACTCCGTTTGGATTTTAAATTAATTTCTTGAACTGAAAAGAATTTGACTTGAGTGGCTAAAGATCTGTTGATATTAATATTAATCTCCTCTCCATGATTTATATTAAATGAAATGTTAGGAACCATGCAAGTACACTGATAACATTCATTAGCATTGAGGGGAAGATAGGAATACTTTTTCTTGTGTGCACAATATACAAAAGTATGAAGCAACTGAGTAGGTAAATGAAAATTAAAATAATTCATGTAGATTAGGAAAAAATCGAGCAAGTTAATTGAATGAGTTGGTTATGTAAAAATATTTACTGTAGTCTTGTAAGGCTTGAGGTAAATGTATTGAGTTTTCTGCAAATTGAGTATTTACATCTCTTACTTGGGTGTATTATTTTATATTAAGTGTTTTGTAAAGTGCCGTTTGTCTATCTTTTATATATTATATTATGTAATTAAAATTTCCTATTAAAACAAAATATCTGGAGAGAGATCCCATATGGAGATCCGTTTCACTTCAGTCCTGAATTTAAAAATTGCCAACCTTTTTTTGGAATCATAACCAGATTCCCCAAAATAGCCTTTTTATAGGATTTAGAGATTGAAATGACTCTGTGGCATTTTATATATTAAGATATATACGTTTTAAGCTTTGCATCAAGGTATCAAGTTCTTGCTCAATCCATGACATAGCTACGGGTGATAAAGATTATCTTAAAAAAATAAAACAAAATTAACTGTTATTGCCAACCTAGTCCCTGTGCTTTGAATGAGGATGAGAATAGAATCTGCTGGAATAAAATATTGGGGAATTCCAATGTCATATTTAGTACTGAGGAATGGTGCTGGCCATTAGCAATAGAAACTAAAGTTCTGGTTTCTTTATTCTGTGCAACAGATACAGCATGCGTCTTGGCTGTGTTAGTCTTGATTTGTAGGGCAGTTTATTCTCTATGCCCCTTCTATGCCTTGTCAAGTTTTGGTGCATCTTTAGAAATTGAGTTAATCTGAAATCCAAAATTGTCATGCAGGTTAATGTACAAGCCTGAGATTTTTTTAAATTTTTTTTTTGTATTGCTGCCATGCTAGGCTGAACTTCAATTTGTGAGCTACAAGTACGAGGTTTCATTTTGCATTATGAGACAATATTTTGTTCTCGGATTAAGTAAGAGCTTTGCAGACACTGAGTATTGGTTTGGACCTGCAGAAAACCTTTATGCTGTTGTTTCATGATTTTAAAAAAAAAGGGGGGAAGAAAAGCCCATCCAGCTTTGGTTATGCTATTTTTGGCTTTGTAAATTTACACTTTACACATGATAACTCTATCTTCTTTATTCCTGCCAGGAAATGATATGAGGCTTTGACCTAGAGAGAACACCTTCTATTTTGCTCCCAATGCTTGTCTTTTCTCCTTTATGCTGTGTCTATCACCTTTCTCAATTATCACTGTTCAAAGATGCATTTTCGTGTAACTTTTTTTTAACTTTGAAGGTAACTTTCTGATTATACAGGACGCTAAAGGAGTGAAGAGACATAAGTTTGTACAGTTTCTTTGGCAAAAGATTATAAAATTTTAATAGCTGCATTTGAAGCTTACCCTGGTTTGTTTAGCCAAAGTATAAGATATGAAGTTCTTATAATGACTTGGCTGCTTGATAGGATATTAATGAATTTTTAAAGCAAAATTGAATGGTCAGTATGATCATATACTTTCAAAATTAACTATATTTAGTTTGAGATATTCTGAATTGCTGATGCTATCAATAATTCATTAACATTGTAAGAAAAACCCCAACAATAGATTGAAAAAGTTATAACAGACAGTCTTTTTTTTTCCTATCAGGAAATGGCAAGTGATGAACTTAAAGAGATGCGTAAAAATCTGACCAAAGAAGCTATCCGAGAACACCAGATGGCTAAGACTGGAGGCACCCAGACTGACTTGTTCACATGTGGCAAGTGTAAAAAGAAGAATTGTACTTACACACAGGTTTGTAATAATTGAGGCGTCTCCCTTTTTGTCAAGGATGAGCCTACATTTTAAGGAAATCTTCTCGTATTTAACAGTTATTGTTATATCAGATGTATAGTATGAGAGCTGAAGGAGATGATGATTTTATTATAGTACACTTTACTTGAGTTACTTTTAAATGTTTTTTGGTTCCAATTTAGGCTAAAGGAAATTAGCACAATAATATTAGTTAACTAGAAAGCTTTATAATTAATTAAAAATAAGTATGTAGTGTAGAATTTCTAGTTACAGATCTGCTTTTGTGGAGGAAATACTCATCTTGTTACGTTGTCTTTATCTCAGTTTTAACGTGGTGATAAAATCTCAAGAAATCTGGTACATACATGGATAAAGTTTAAGAGCTGTGCTTAACATTGCATCTTTTGATACTATGACTTTGGCAACAGGCATTGAGGACAATGAAGTTATCTAATGCGGTATTCAAGCAGAGAATGTAATAAAAACTGCTGATTTTTTTTTTTTTTTTTTTTTTTTTAATCATAATTTTCCATTGGAGTAATGCTGGGTTTTTTCGCTAATTTTTTTAAAGATTATTATGATGGATGGAGATTAGCCAATATAGCCAGTGTTTACATTGTGTTTAAATGCTCTTTCTGTCTGGTGGTAGCATATCTTATATGAAGAAAAATTTTGAACGTTAGTATTTAATTGCAGGTTTATTAACATAGAACCTGTTTTATAAACCTTCTGTACATGAAAATTGCGCTAATTTTAGTAGGGGGTAATGTGCAGAAATATAAAGCTTATGTTGATTTCACGAATGCAACAGAGCATAGTTTTTGATTTATGAAGTTATTAATAAAGTATCTCTAAGGTGTTTTGATGTAAAAACTTGTCTAAATCCTGATATTTTTAGGCCATTTTATCATGGGTGGGGGGGAGAGGGGGTAGAAAGAGAGAAAAATAAAACTGCAATTTTCTAAAACTGTGCAGTTATACTTCTGGGGGAAAAACTAAAAAACAAAACAAAAAAACACCTGCAAAACTTAATTGCTAATATGGGTATTATAATGCACAATGTCTGTAAACTGTGTCTTGTAAAACTGGATTGTAATATAATAAGTAGTGTGAATAAATCTTTGAACTATGTTATAGATTGGGACAAGAACTTTGCATCCAGCAGTAGTAAAGTAATATCACCATGAATCTGTTCAAAATGTTCCCTTTTTTTTTACCCATTTTACGTAGGTTCAAACACGTAGCGCTGATGAACCGATGACAACATTTGTTGTCTGTAATGAATGTGGAAACAGATGGAAGGTGAGGCTGTACACTTTTATGTGTATTCTCTAGTAGACAAATTTCTAGTTTACTTTTTTCTGATTTTTTTGGTAAACAGTGTTTGAGTTGTTATTAATTTTTGCTATTTTTTTTACATGGTTTTGAGAATTTGTAAATGAATATTGCTGAATACCTTTAAGCTAGAAAAATATTTGAGGAACATCCTCTGGTTTCTAGTATGACTACTTGCTGTGGATAATATACGAAAAGAAAGGGTGAATGGTTAGGATACTAGCTTGGATCTTGGGAGAGGTTCATTTATATGCTGTATGACCTTTAAGCAAGTCATTCTCCCTTTGCCTTAATTTTCCACTTGCATAATAGAAATAATAGTGCTTTCCTACCTCATGGAGCATTGTGATGATAGATAAAAAAAATGGAAATAGGCTGTGACAGCAGGAGAGGGATCATGCAAGTGTCTTCTAAAAGTAGAAACAGTAGGATGCGTGCACATTGCTGAACTAGAAGCTGTGTGGAGCTCTTAGGTTTCTCAGTAGCAGCAGCAGCACCTGCAGAAGAGATGTTCTAGTCCCCTTTAATCTCCCAAGCTATAGGAAAACCTAGCCCTTTACTGCATTCTGCCTTCCAGAAGGAGCAGCAAGGACCACTTGCTCCTGGTCTCTGGTGAGACAGAACAGAGGGGTTCAAAAGAGAGCTTGATTTTAAGTAAAAGAAACAGGAAGCTCTTTATTTTCACAATAGTGTGTGGGAGGGGAAAGGGGCAAGGGGGAGGGAACCTGAAATGAAGGATAATGATTTTTCTCTACTTCATTCTGCAGTGTGATAACGCATCAAGCATATCAAGAGTGCATTTTTTTTCTTGCCTCTTAATTAGACTGTTTTAGCTCCCAAGAAGCATGGTTGGTTTCCGTTTTCAAAACATGTCAGCAAAAGAAAGTTTCAGGGTGCTGTTCCCTTAGTAAAATTTTAAAGTGAAAACAGTCAAAAAGTAACAACATTGTGGGTCAGACCTACACTTCAGGGTATCTAGCATCTGCCAAGTTTTAGAATTATTTTTTTAGAATAAGACCATGGCTGTTTTTAGTTCAGATCAGCTTTCCCATTCATTCGCTGTGATCAGAGAAATTTAGCAATCCCTATAGAGGTGCTTGGATGAGAGAAGGTGGTAAGGATGCAAGTAGATGTTCAGACTGGTAATTACCACATCTTAAAGCACAGTGGCTCCGTCTTTCTCGCTAGAAATAAGAGCTAGAAATAAGCTGTATACAGATATCTCATAAAATATTTCTTTTCTTTTGACAGTTCTGTTAGAAGAAGAAACTCAAGACATCTGGACCAGTATGAAAGCGGATTTTGTAATTAGCTTTAAGAACTAGGCCAAGCATCTAGCTTCCTGCAAATAAGACTTTTTGTTTTGTTTTTTTAAGCAGCATACATCTTTGGAGTTAGCCTTTGTTTTCGACACCACCATCACTTTAAATGCCTTCCTGTAGTTACTAGTCAGTAGGGCCAGGTTGCTCAGTTGTATGGTGTATGTTAAAAATATTTTTTTTCATTTTTATAAGTAAGTTGACATTAAACTTTTATTGATAAACTTCTGATAACTGGTTTGTGTTTTCTTAACTCTGTGAATAATGTACCATATATTTTTTACAATCTGTACCACACCCAACAGAAATACCCAACCTTTCTTCCTTTGTTAAAAATGAAATTGAATTTGTTTCTTATTGGCATATTCCTAATGATTTTGTGGAGAAAAAGGAAAGCTAACCTTTGTTTCAATTATATTGGACCTAATGTGATATACTTGCAAATGGTTGGCAATCTGGTGTGTACATTATTTAAAAAAAAAAAAAAAATTATAAAATAGTAGTTGAAGTCTGTTTGTGAAGTTTGGAACTTTATGGACCTCTTCTGTTTATTTATATAACTTCTGTTGCAATGGTTGGATAAGTTTTGCTTATGTAATCTGTATCGATCAGTTCAATTTATTATACTGCCCTAAAGCTTGTATATTACTTATCAGCACTAGATTTTCATTCTAGAGAAATGATTTAAATAGTTTGTTGAATGTGATCTGACTGTTTTGGTTTGATACCTGAATTCATTTTAGCCTTTTGTAGGTGAGTAAATGATTCTTGTGATGGGCTGCTATCATGACAGTAGGTAAACAAATTTATCCAAAGCTAAACTGGCTGGAGAATTAATGAGTCTTCATCAGTTCAGACATATTAACTTAAATTTGGTATGCAGAATAAATAATGTCAGTAATCATCAAACCAGATGCCAGAATAAGTAAATAACGGTCTTTTGCTACTCAGGTTGATAGATTGTCTTGTAAAAATATATTTTCTGAAAACACACCTTTTTTAAAACAATTTTTAAATGCCATGGAACAAAACTAGTCTCAGTATTTTACAATATTATTTCATTATGCCGGTCTTTGTATTATCTGTTATGTATGTAAGCCTGAGGTGTGGAGGAGGTCTGTCCTAGCAGTGGCTGAGGAATGTGTGGGTAGCAATTGGAGAATAAATTACTTTGGAATAGGTAAATGGGAATCCTTCTTTGATATTTTTTTTTTTTTGTCCTGATAGACTTGCATCCACATGAGTATGAGACGCCATGTTAAATTCTGATAACAGTTTAGCTCTGAAAGCCAAGAAGTAGTTTGCAAATTACTTGACTTGTTTAAAAAAAATTGTAGTTAACTTGGGCCGGAGGAAAAAGTCTATTCTTCCAAAAAAGAAATTGAATTTGGATAAGAATTTAGCTTGTTGTTTATATCTTAGTTTAAAAAGAGAAAATTACTCAAATGTTTCAAAGGTCTTTATATAATTTATATAAAGACAATTTGGACTCTTAGTTGATCAGCTCTAATTTGAAGATTTTTATAACATTAAACCAAGTGGAAAAGTGAAGAGCGAATACCCTACAATTAAAAACCTTGACAGAACTGCTTCCTTAATTATGTATCTGGAGATTTTGAAGTTATCCAAGATAGCAACAAACTGACTTAATTACAGCTGTTTGGTGTCAGTATCTCTGCCCTTTTGTTTTAGGGCACTTTTAAGAGGACAGTTCCAAGAAATGTGTTAAGCAAATGTAGTCATAAATTGGGTGCCAGATGGATTCTGACAGTGGTGGCAATCTGGGTTGTTTATAGAATAGGCACAGTTTTCTCTATGCAGATTCCCCATACTCTGTCTAACCTTATCCTGCTCCTGTATCTTATGAGTAGCCTCTTCATAGGAAAATGCAATAATAATTCACTTTTCAAAACTGTTCACTGGTGTGAGTTTCCCCATAAGTTTGAATGTTGCTACTGTGGGCATACCAGATGGGAATTGGAATGAAACACTTTCCTTCTTCCCAGTTCTTACTACCCACTTCATGACTTGATCATGCAAATATTAAGGTAAATAGTTATTTGCCCAAACAGCAGAAGATGAAGCCCTAGAGCTGTGTCCAGGCCCTAGAGAGCTGTGTCTAAAAACCTAAGCTCATTTGCTGCTTTACTCCTAAAGGTATCTGGACTCCATAGGGACCTTTTTGGGGAGAGGGAGGGAGTTCCTTTTAAAATGTCCCAGGTATCTGAAGTTCTACTTCTGCAATACTTAAAAGCACCTTGATAACTGTTGCAAAGTCTGTTTTTACATTTAAGCGGTGATTATATGGAATATGCAAAGAGTCCTTGGAGATGCACATGTCTTCTACTTCACCTATGAGTATCTTTGAGTCACTTTGCCCTTTTTCTGTCTCTGGCTCAATGATTTTTTTTCCTTATACAGTGGAACAGTCTGAATTGGAAGTCCAGAGGGCACTTTCTGCTTTCCCTCTTTGCCCCCCTCCCTCCCCCCCCATCTCCAGACAGTCTATGGCAGTGATTCTCAACCTTTTTGGATTTAAGGTACCCTTTTTTTTTGGTTTTTGGGGGGGTGGGGTTTGACTCAAGGCACCCTTCCATAACAGTTGTTAATTGTGTGGCACCCAATATCAAAAAGTTATGCTACAGTACTCTACCTCCTTTTTGAGGCATCCAGGCATTGGGGTCGGGGATTAGCCAGACAGGAACGAGCCTGAATCTGTTATCTACTTACCTCCTCATACCTTGTGGCACCCTTCAAAGGATCTGCTGACACTCTCATTGAGGATCATTGGTCTGCAGTCTGGTAAAGCAGAGCCTTCAAGCTGGTTGAAACTCTCAAGCAGGGGAAATGATTTGAACCATGGTTGTCTTCATCATGGGGAACTGCTGTAATGATTAAGCTATTAAATAAAATGGAGGGTGTTCTTGCTCTGTGTTTTTGAAAGAGGTTACAAAAGCTTACGATTCCTGGGTAGATAGAAGCCTCCCAGTAGTCAGAAGCTGAAGCACCCAAGTGCTGGAGAAGAGTGGGCTGTCTGACCAAGCAACTTTCTGACCAGCATGCTTGCCTTGGGGATTCTTAAAAGCCTGCAGGGATCTATCCTTCTCAAGTACCTTTTCCCCCATGCATGGTATAGGGGGTCTGCATCTTATCTAGGTAGCAGTGCTCAGAGATGTGGCACAAAAGTATTTAAACCTACCCCCAGTCTTTGCTGACTCAATTTAAATTCAATGACCCAAGTCATGCAGTCCCTTAAATGATAATGTGTTTAATCTAGAAATGATCAGTTGATACCACTGACCTCTACACGCAATTTCTCATGGAATGGGCAATAATTTTAATGTTAGTGAAGTATTAATGTAACACAAAGTTGGTTCACCATTTTAAAAGTGATTAAGTTAATTCAGTGTTTCCTGAACCTTGTGGGTATATGCCCCAACATAGTAAAGTTGGGCAATCTCATGCTCTCCCCACTTCAACTACTGCTTCCCTCACCACCAGTTTCTCCTGCTGCCATTGGTTGCTGTAATCAGTATCAGGGAAATTGGTAGCAAGAGGAACCAATGGTGGTGGTGGCTGAGCTAGGGGGACATGAAAATACCTGACTTCACTACAGTGGCACTGCCTATTGTGGTTGTGATTTGCCCAAGTACATGGGGGAGGGGATTTGCACACATCCCACAGTTTAGGAAATACTGGGTTTATTGAATTACAGCACTCTTTATGGTACGTTCCTGTCATATTTGCCAAACTGAGCGCCTTTTCATTGCAGAATATTCAACAGTTGTCAAATGCAATTAGGGTGAATTCTTTTTTTAATTATTTCACATTAAGGCAGCTGCACTGGTTATTTTCCCTGCCACCAGTGGGCTCCTTTTACTGAAGGGATATTTAAGTGTGTCATTCTACTGTGACAAATCTTATCATAACTTAAAATATGTAGCCTGAAGAATTTTGCTTTAGAAGTGTTGTGTGGCACTTCCTTGAATTGTACTACTTTGAATTGGAATTTAAAGGTAACAATGTGGTTAGTATCAATTGATGTGTTGGCTGGAGGAGTCCATACAATTTTAATATCGTTTTAGCAGATCCATGAAAAGAGCAGTCTTTAAAGACGTGAATTTTCTGTGGGAGTTATTGGTATACAAACTGCAGACATTTAAGAGTGAATACCAGTGGCCTAAAAGGTTATTGTAGCTTAATGATATCCTGTGGTTTGATAAATGCTAAGGCAAGCCAGTAGCATTTATTTTCAAGACAGGATACGTTGATCCTGTGACAGTAGTTTTGCTTTAATTATATAAAACTTGTATAAATGACTGTTTTGTCCTCCTATTAGTATACTAACGCTTATGAAACTAACTTCCAGTTGAGTGCAACTGAGATTTGGCCATTATAAAATGTGCATGTATTTTACCAAAGAGAAATTCATGTATAGTTTTGAATGATAGTGATAGGAATTAGAACAAGTACACTGTCTTATGTGAGTTCCATTAATATTTAATACTGTTTAAATTAAAATGATGCAATGCTAATATTTCATATTTTTACAGAATGATGTCAAGATGTTTAGGATCAACACTGCATTTCTTATTTGAACTGAGGGGGTTTTAACTCAGCTTAAAATTTAATGAAAATATAATTTCCCAGCAATGATGTTCCCTCTAACCATATGATAATAAGGAGAAATGGAAGCTGATTTTTAATTGTCCATTTGCTATGAAATACAGACAATGAAAACAAATGGTAGATATGATCAAACTAGATACTGCATTTACTTGAATCCAAGATAAGGTTGTCCCCTGTGCCCTCCCCCCACCCTTCAACATGGGAGGGGGTGGGGGGAATCCCCTTGTCTTGGATTTGACTACAAGGCAGAGGAAGGGAGGTAAAGCAGCTGTTGTTGTCTGACTGGCCCTGAGCCCAGGTCAAGCCCAGAAGTCAGCTGCAGCATCTGCCTGCCCCGTATAGCCTCCTCCCTAGGGGCCATGCAGCAGTGGTGGCAGCAGCTCCGGCCTGAGGGAATGGAGCTGGAGCCGCACCTAACAGCCACAGTAAGGGGGGGGGCAGAAGCTCTGGGAAGCAGGTGAGGGGGACAGGTGCAGAGGCTGGGCACTGTGGGGCAGTGGATGCAGTAGGTTTCAGTGGAGACAAGTAAGGAGCAAGGAAGTCAGTTGTGCCCATCATGTGCACCCTTATTGCTACTTTCCATGCTGTAGCTGTAGGGAGATGATTTTAAGACGACTCTCTGATAATTCAATTCTATGCATGGAAAATTATAACAAACATATATCTTCTATCTATAGAATCTAATTATTTGGTGGGGAGGGTTGACTTAGCTGATTTAATACTTTAAATTTCAAAGTAGTATCCTGACAAAATAAAATTCTGGACGATATCCTTTAATGTCAGTGACTCTCTTCCGCATAATATAATAGGCTAGCACATACTGCATTTGATTTAAGTACAGAGCAACTGCTCTGCCACGTTCCTCTCCTAACTCTTAATGAGGTATAGGGGAGGGAGAAAAACTTGAAAGAAACTAAGTTCTCAGTTCCATGACGTGACACAGCTTTGAACTTTTCTGAAGTGTGTCTCTGATCTCAAGCAAGCTGAAATTGACCTAGTTAAACTTTTTTTTTTTGTCAGCTTGGTGCTTCTGAAAGGTCGGCTACAACTTAGTCACCTGAATAAGTATAGCATGAGCAGCAATTTATTATTGATATTCCCTTTCATTCCGCTAGCGGTATATCATTGTGCCTATCTTGATCTTTGGCATCTGCTCAATCTACCAGCTAGCATGCATCTATAAAGTGACGCTGTTAATGAGATTGTGTTTTGTGCTATGGGTATGTTTGCATGAACTGGGCCAAGAATGAATGTTGCATAAATATCAATCATACCCTACCAAGAAACATGCAGTGGCTGCTAACCTGGACTGCATCTTAACCAGCTCATGGAAGAGCTGTCTTCCTTTTTATATGGTCATTTAGCCTAATGCAGTAGTATGCAGCTATTCTGCAGTGTTGTTTGGTAAATACTGTTTCTTTTTAAAATCCATCTTCTTATGCTGACATATTAAATGGTATCTTGGTTATAGATACTATCTGACTGCAGCTGTTGCTGACAACTTGCATGGTAAGTCTTCTTCCATAGTACTATGCAATTGCAGCTCTCTTGATTCAATGAGGATGATACAAAGAATGATAGAAAAGTAGGGCTGGAGGGGATCTAAGGAGGTCACCTAGTGCAACCTTCTACTCAAGGCAGGATCATCCTTGTCTAAATTACCCTGTACATGTTTGTCTAACCTAATTTTGAAGCTACACAAACAACCCTGTTCCACAGAGGAAAACATCCCCTACATGACACATTGAACAAAATAAATTAGCACATTCCTGTCTCTTGTTTTTTCCCCTTCAGTGGGGGAAGCTGAATCTAGCATTTGTTTCATATCTGACAGTAGGTTGCAGGATTACTGTAGCTTCACAGTAAAACAAAAAATGCATATCTATCAAAAGGAGTTCTTTTATAAGAATTAAGAGTCATCATTCACATTCCTCCCTCTCCTGTCCCCATACACCACCTGCCTTATACTTCCCTGGACTCATTTATGCATGCAAAAACACCCTTAAAGGTAATTCTCATTGCATGCCTTTTAGTTTACAGCTAAAAGGTACAGTGGGAATTATAGTGAATCCAATCGCAGAATAATCAAGCGTTTCATTTAAATGATTGTTAAACTTCCTTCCTGGTTCGAAAGAAAGAAACCTGGATGCAAGTTGCTTCCTAGATGTAATTATGGTGATTAATTTTTAAAGTATGTTGGAGAACCATGTAGTTAAAGGCAATGGGCTGTCTTTACTCAAATACCAGACAAGATTTTATTGTATTACATTTGCATGTCACACTGCCCACTGATTTAAATACATTGTCTATCAGGTTAGCATGCAAAAGCAGCATGTGCTCAGCAATGGAAACTAACTTTGAAGTTGATTAAATGCAGTCAACACTGAGTAACTGTAAAACACATGGCCCGTAATGGGAAAACCATTTTAGTGGGAACCCTTTTTGTGTACGGCCCTTAAAAAATGGGTGGATGTTCCATCCTCAGGGAACTGGCACTGGGCTTTGAGGTACTGCAATACCCAGCCAACACCAGAAGGGCCAGAGCCAGTCATAACATCATTTCTTCAGTGCCAAAAATCCTACATTTGATCCTAGCCAGAAAGGTCAAGATGCTTAGGTCAGTGCAGTCCATTTGAATAAGATGTATGGTAATGCCCATTGTGCACAGTACGTCTCAGTGCCAACTCTTTCAAGTCATGGTGAGCCACTTGCATACATTTCTATGTTCTCTTCACTGTCACGGCTGAGCTGTACCTTTCTCATCTCCAATTATTCCTATTTTTTACCAGCTTTAAATGCCTGGCAAACCATCACCAAATGGGGCCCCAAACAGTTCACCCAGACATCACTCTGTCACCCCAGCTCATGGCCTGTTGTATATGATTAGTGTGGCCTTACTCTCCATGAGGTGGAGTCAGACCTGGTTGCCCTGTGCCTCAACTGCATCTAAATTTTTGGATGATCCCCGGACTCATTGAGAAGAACATCCAGTTCCAGTCATGAATGGGGTGCCAATTAGTAGGTGGATCCTTTGCAGTGGTCATCTGGAGCGAGCGAACGTGTGCGCACACGCACTCGCACATTCACACACTCTCTCTCTCTGCAGTCACCGTGGCTTAAAACACTGTTGACTCTGCTGGGGCCCAGTCCCATGAACTATGTGGTAAATCATGAGTCTTTTGGCTTTGAACTAATATCATGCATAGTTTATACTGTATGTAAGTAGGTACAAAAGTGCGTTCATGGAATACCTGTACTAAAAATTGTAGCAGTTTCAAAAAAGGTAAAATGCATAAATTCTAGACAACTAAGTCTATGGGTACCTGTAATGGTTTGCCTGTACGCAAATTACTACAGGCATGCTTATTTCAAGGTCAGTGTTCTCAAATTTGTCCCTCATTTCCATGTACTCAGGGAGATCAGGGTCTGACAGTGGGAAGGGGCTGCAGGGGGAAGAAATTGTGGGGTGGGTTGGGCAAGGGGATACCTGAGCCCCCAGACTTATTTTTCCCTACTGTAGCAGTGGGAGGAGGACAAATTTAAAGTCAACCTCCATTTTATACTTGGAAAATTATAATAAACTTATAAGTTTCCATGTATAGAATCTAATTATTGGGGTGTCGTCTTGTATTCAGGGTCATCTTATATTAGGGTAAATACAGCATTAAGGACATCAGAAGTGAGCACAGATGGGTTATATAAGAATAGTACTTTCTTTTAAGTCTAATCAATTTAGACAAGAAATAAAAAAGCTGCAACTAGCTCAATTTCCTTTAATTGTATGAAGTATATGTATATTGCCTATTAAGAAAATAACCCTCTAACAATGTCATGTAATTTGTGAAAATTTAATGTTTGTGAACACAAAATGACAATTACTACAGATCTCTTGGGACTGAAATATTAATTACAATTTCTTGCACCTACTTCTCCAGTAATGAGAACAACACATGAGAATTGTTGTGCTTTATTTAAGATAGTAAATGCCCAGACTCTTCCCTCCTAAATTAACTTTTATAAACATTAACGGTATGAACTTTAAAATGTTTTCAGCCGACTCAGGTAGTAAAATAACACTTTTCAACAAAAGATTTTTATAGGCAGCATTATTTCAACCACTAACTTCCATAAAATTTGAGGGTCACACTTACTTCCATGAGCGTACTGCTTACATGTATTAAATACCCTAAGACAAGTAGAGAGTACCATTGCTACTTCATAGCCAATGACCAGGTACTATAGTTATGGAAATGTGACATTTCAGTCTAGAGTAACCAAAATAGCAACAGCACATACTATTTTTACTTTGTCCATGGGGGGGGGGAAGGAGGACAGTCAGTTTGACTCTTAAGGAAGGAAGAAATCATAGTTTACACTACTTTTAAAACAGTGTTTTTCTTTTCACATAGTAATTGTAAGGTGTTTTCCCATATAAGAGTTTGCCTGAATTGCATGCTGCTATGGTGAAAAAGTACTATTTTTCAACATTAACAATTCCTTGCATTCCCCTTTGCAAAGTTTCACTAAGGATCAGAAACTGCAATTGGGTTGTGGTGTCAGAGCCCTCTGCAGGTTAAAACATTCAGTCCATATTAAAATATGCCTGAGAGATTTTCAGGTAAATCCTTTTGACTCTAAATTCCCTGTTGGTTGGTATAGCCCAGAGTTCCATTTTGTTTTTGTTTGTTTTTTTAAATAAATACATTAATAAAAAAAAAAAAAAATCCTATGCTTCTACAGATTTTTCAGATAAGGACCGAAGCAAGTCCTTATAAATAGCAGAGTTCATAAACCGTGGGTAGGAGTCTCTGTGCATTAAGGTGTAAATCTGGAGCTGTGCATCATCAAAAGTATGTTGTGATGGCTCCAGCATATTTCGGTTGATAACTTCCCTTACTCTGGAATCCAGGCTGACCTGCATATGCAAAAAAGAGGGAAAAAAAAAAGTAACAGCACATGCATGCTCTTTCAACTCCACCCACTTTCAAAGCAGCACTTCCTAACAACCATTCCCTCCCAGAAAGTCAAGGTTCCTATACATGCACAGAATATACTTCCTAACCTGTATACCAGAGGTGTCAAATTTACTGGGCCTCACAGATTAGATCTAAATAGCAAATACCACCCCCCCCCCTTTCATGGGCCAAATCTAGGGGTGGTGAGGTTAATCCCAGCAATTGCTAGAGTCACAAGATAAAGCTCCAGAACCCATGGAATTTAGCACTGGTGCTGTTTACCATCTATTCCAAGGGTGGGCAAAATGCGGCCCGCGTGCCAGATGCAGCCCACCAGGCCATTCTATCAGGCCCATGGGGCCCCTAAAAAATTTAGGAAAATATTTAATCTGCCCCTGGTGACCTGTCATACGGCCCTTGATAGCTTGCCAAAATTCAGTAAGTGGCTCTCCGCCCAAAATAATTGCCCGCCCCTGAAATATTCCCTGCCTCCTGCCCCCGCTCCCCCCCTGGCCCCCTTCAAACACACTTTTCCCCTGCTGCTGCCAAGAACCTCAATTTCAGCAGTAAGGGGGGAGGGGGGGAGCAGTGGAGACTAATAATATTAACTTCCTAGGTTACAGAGCTGTACTGAAACAGCAGAAATTAATGTCATTGCCACAAGGGCTCCAGCAGCTCTAGCAATGAATCCCACAGGATGAATCTGGCCTGCAGAGGTGGGTGGTTGAGCCCCTGGGGTCATATGTTTGACACCCCTGCTGCATATAATCTTTTCTGAATATTTGTAAAGCAATTCTTCCACAAAAGCAACCTCACTTTTAAATACTGAAGTCTATAATTTTGTCATTACTTATGAAGAATTTCTTTCCATCTCCGTTTAGTACTTAATGGTATGAGAGACTTAATTTTGTGTGACAACTTGTTTCCTTGGGAATTGGTATTGTTCCAAAGAGGATGGATTAGGATGGATTTCATGGCAGCAAGAATATGTAGAAGGTAACTGCGACCTACAAAGCTACTGTTTAAACCAGAAGTTCTCAACCTTTTTAACACTCAAGGCACCTCTTGGAAAATTCCAGCTCTTGGCTTTCACTTATTCTTTGACAAGAAAAATCTCTCTCTCTCTCTCTCCCCCTCTCCCCCTCTCTATCTAATATATTGTAATTCATCCTCTCTCTTGTCAGACAACACGCACGCACGCACGCACGCACGCACGCACACACACACACACACACACACACACACACACACACACACCCCCATCCATCCAAGAGTAGCCATGTTTTATGTATGTATGTATGTATGTATAGATATATCGAGATATAGATATATCAATCTTCTTGTTGCAAAGAACTCAAAGACCACAACAGATCAGAAACCTTTTTGATGGTATCTCTCTATCTAATATATTGTAATTCATCCTCTCTCTTGTCAGACAACACGCACGCACGCACGCACGCACGCACGCACACACACACACACACACACACACACACACACACACACACCCCCATCCATCCAAGAGTAGCCATGTTTTATGTATGTATGTATGTATGTATAGATATATCGAGATATAGATATATCAATCTTCTTGTTGCAAAGAACTCAAAGACCACAACAGATCAGAAACCTTTTTGATGGTATGGATTCCTATTTGAAATCTAGATTTGTATACCTAACACTGCTAATATTGTGTGAGACCCTTAAAAGAATTTCAAAGCACACAAACACCCTAATTGAGAATCAATGGGTTAAGCAAATCCCTTTGCTTATGTTCAGGAAAACTTGGACATGAAATGCAAATAGTTGTATCATTTTTTCTGTCAGTGGTGATTATGATTTTTTTAATATATTTTTGAGGTGACAGTCTTTGTAAAGATCTTGGGTGAATAGAACAGGTCCAATAAATGTTGACAGTACCTTCACCTGTATAAGTAGTCCCATTTGTATCACTGTGACTGGTAATACAGTATATAATGTTAGGTGTATGAACTATGAAGCTTTGGAAATAGGTTTAGTATGTTGGAAGCAGTTTAGTGTACTGCTAAAACAGTCCTTTGAGAAATTTGAGAAATTTCTATAATATTACATGGAAAACTATACAATTTTGTGAAACTTTTTAAGGCATCTGTTCTTTCTTCTTGGGACTCAGGAAAAATGAGGTTATTCATCAACCAGATATTCAAGTAAGAGGCAAGGGGGAGAAATTATTGTCTTTTCCCTGTTATGCTTAAGAATTACAGGCAGCTTGTCACTGACTTCTAATACTGTGTATGAAACTTTAATACATCAGGGGAGTTTAAGCTATGGCAGCTTGAGGCCCTCATTTCCTAGGCCTCTAGAATTAGCAATGCATCTCATAAGAATTACAACTTTGGCTTATTTGCCTTTATTTAACTGTAGCAAGTCGCCTGCCAAGGCAGTATTAAAGAATGATTGAAAAGGGTTACACACCTCTTTTGGAGAAAGAATGGAAATATAATCCTCATATATTAGCCTTGCTTTTTCTTCAAGAATACTTTTGTTGGATTCTTTCTTTAGGTCCTCACAGGCCATCCAGAAAAGCATGTTTTCTTCACTGAACTCAGTTCGGAGAAACTCTCGGAAAGCATTTCTGCCTGCTGGAGTGAGCATTAACTTGTCAAATGATTGAGCCCAGGCATTTACTTCTTCAAGTGTTGGAGTGGGGCTTGAGAGAGAGAGAGAAATAGAGAATATTGACTGTTACTGAGAATCCAATCACTAACCCTGAAACAGGGAAAAACTGACCTTTCCCTGGCTCTAGTTGCTGGCATGCCAGACTAGTAAAAGTGATGCCCAGTGTTGTCATGCATATTCAATTTAAGGCTATAAGAATTGTAGAAGATCTTACATTTTCAAAAGCACCTTTAGCAAATGTATACAGTACCCTTAATTTAAAGAAATGCCTGGAGTCACTGCTCAAAATAACTACAAGAGCAGCAAAAACTGATGCAACCAATCACCGTTCTTTCCTAGCCAGAATAAGCATTGTTTACACTAATATCAGCAACCTACAGCCCACAGGCCAGACTGGGCATGTGAAGAGATGGTCTGGCTCATGGCAGCTTGGGGAATCAGTAGCATGCTCCAGCTGGAGCAGCAGAGGCAGCATCCGCAGGGTCCTACTGTTTTCCTTTTTGTAGCTATTTCTTTATCTGCAGAGATTTTACAGCCCACAGTAGGAGCTGGGTCACAAGTGGTGGCCCACGGTAGCAAAACATTGCCAACCTTTGGTTTACCAATTTCTCCATTGCTGTAGGAATATATATGCAGGCAAGAGCAAAGTACCACCAGGGATTACAGCTGTTTGTACAAAAAGTACACCTCTGTGTGTATACATTTTAGAGGCCTCCAGGTGATACAGCATTGGAACAGCTAAGAAAGGAAAGCAAAATATCTATTTGGCAGAAGGGAATCTATGTTCTCCCTTGTTTGCTGCCCTTTTACAGCTGAGCACTACCAACTGGATTGGTTAAAGAGGCAGGAGTTTAAAACAGATTTTTAGGAGAATGGGAGAATCAGTCTTTGCTGTGTTGTTGCTATGGTGGCATAAAGAATTTAAATTTTTTTTATGGATCCAGCCCTAGATGTAATTAACTATTAGGGGTAGGTTTGGAAATAGTTCATAGATGCTGTTACATGGCACCTATGGGTTACTGACAACAAAATGTATAGGTGACAGTAGGATTTTCTTTTGTGTGCGCATGCATAAGAGGGAACCTATTTTCCCTATACTAAAATATACAATGAGAGCATCTACCATTCCTCGCAGTATGGAATTCCCTCTGCTCTGAGTTCCTGTGATGATCTCCTGGCTTGCTCTTCATCTCGATTCCTAACAGTAAGGCTGCAAGGGAGCAAACAAACAGAAATCTTGGTCAAGTTTTAAATAAAAGTTCAACCAACATAAGATTGTTCTTCTATTTTGCTTTACCTTAACTAGACAGAAACTATCTGTATGCCATATTATTCTAACCTTAAACTAGATTTGCACCTGCATAAATCTAACAACATTAACACAAGTAGAATACGTGGGAAAATAATCAGGCTGCTTTCTAGCACTGCCACAGCAGAGTTTGGCACGGCTTTCAAAGCATAAAGTTTAATCCAGGAAAATGCTTTTGATGAGCCCTCCCTTTCTACGATGATTGCAGGTTTAGATGAGAGACAAATACAAGCCACAAAAACTGATGTTCATTATAAAATATGACATTCTTTACAAAAAGAATGACAAAGTTCTGTCGCTGGTCAAATTCCAAATAAAGATTATCAAATGAGGATTACCTACCTCTAGAATGGATTATTTACGGAGTTGACAGAGTACATGTTTTGTTTTGGGTTGGGTTTGGTTTAGTGTTTTTTTTACGGGCCAGGTGGTATAAATGTGCATAAGATGAACATCTGAAATAAAACTGATTCTGTCTGGGGGCAGAGAGATGCATTAGAATGACCTTGTGCAGACCCTCCAATCCTTTCTATGATTTCAAAATATCCCTTCTTTGCTTAAATTCCAAAATGTGTGGGGTTTTTTTCCCCTTGTACAGAATGGCTGTTGCATTTCAGCCTATGGCTGCAACTGAGAGAGGTAATCCATATGGAAAAAAAAATACACATACACAATGTCTCCAAAGCCATTTAGGATTTGTCAAGACCAAAAGGTACAAAACAAATTATAATGCATTATCCATGATGAAAACCTGGATTTATAGGCTCTTGCTACAATTGTTATAAACTAGTGAGTTTCATACAATTTATAGGGAAAATCTTTGAGCTTTCAATTGCTTTGTTTGTTGTCTTACCTTTCTTTAATATAACAGCTACTTCACGTCACTGTTTTCACTTTAGTTCTTAGAAATCTCTCTTAAATGGAGACGAGTTTCTTTTAAAAAGTGTAAATATTCTTTACTTGTTTGCTTGTAAACTCATGACTTTATCTTATCTGCAACTTTGACACTTCAATGGGTTCTAATCTTTTTGGGGTTTTTTTTTTTTCTTATTCTATGTTTTGTGCCCGTAATCTGCAGAGATATTCCTAAAGTTTTGCAGAAGTTTTCGGACTCAAATAAATGTAGCTTTTGGGAAATGGGAAACCGCCATCTTTTCTCTTATAACATCTTGATACAATAGAAACCTGGAGGATGTTTTCTACATGTCCCTGAGCTGTGGTGGTCACACTTCCTGTAGCACCTCATTTTGTGTAATATACCTGTAAAATACCTTCAAATAAACTATTTTAATGTATTTTCTCTGTACAGGCAGACACAGTAATTACAAAAGAACTATAATATATTGCCTTGTCCTTGGATTTCAAGGTGACTGTGGGAAATACAAGACCCAATAGTGACCACTTTTATCCTGGTGTTTTTGTGAAATATGAACAGACGTGTTGGTGATTATGGAAAACACAACAAAGTAATACTATCCTCTGGCTTGATGTATTTTAGAGAGAAACAACAGATCAACGAAGAGCACAAGTCTCCTTAAGAGAACACCACCACACAAAATGACATTGGTCCTTCTGGATGGGCAGATTTTCTAGAAATGTAAAGGTACAGAGCAAAGGAAAGGGAATATTTACTTAGCTACATCTTCTACAGGCTGCAGAAGGGGAAGAGGCCTGAAACTTGAATGGCAGCTGTAGTAATACACGCCTCCGGATTCATTACCCCAGCCCATAGCAGTTTGTTCTAATTCTAGTATTAAAAGGGCATTGAATATCAGATGTTCTGTCTCAGCTGCATGACTCATACAGACTGTTATTTTTGTTCCTATTCATAATTTTCTCTGTGCAAAGCACTCAAGCTATTTTGAGGGAAGGTGCTCTATAAATAGGGATTATAAATAGATTATTTTAATTGCAGTTTGTTTCACATTCCTCACTACTAGGAAACAGTTGTTCTCAGAAAATTAGAAATGCTTTTAAAGCAAAGCAAAGCTGCTCTGTTTGTAGCCTGTAGCTGGTTCCCAGCCTATTATGAAACAAATAGGAATTTGAATAGTTATAAACATTGGGTAATTTTGCACACCCCATTGAGTAAATCATTTTCTTTGTATCATTTTAACACTGAAGTGCACAGAAAATGGAGCATCAGAGAAAATATGAGATAAAATGGCAAGAAATAGTTTGACAACAGTTTTAAAAAAGTAGTGAGAGAGGAAGTTTTTATTTATGTGCTAAAGAAGGGTACATAATGTGATTTCATTTCCTCTGGTTGAGAAAGAAGCACCCACCTGAAGCTATGAGAGTGTATAATTTAATATGCAACTTGAAGTTAAAAGCAACCCTGAGTTTCAGAGATTTCAGCGGTATGAACTGTTGATCTACTGGCACTTAGAGGGTAATGCCCTCTCCTTCACTGTGGGCTCCCTGCAAGAGAAAAGGCCTTTTGCCAGATCCAGCTCAACATTTACTCGTGCTAAACCCTGAGCGCTCAGCGCCTTACATGATTTTAGCACTTACAAAATATACCTCACCCCCAGGAGAAGGATGATGGGTTTTTTCTCTAGTCTCCACCCCAGGGTCAGTCATCCCAAATGTCAGCATCTCTATGTTGTACTGTGTATTTGCAAGAAGCACTCAGTTTCCTCGTCTCAGTTGGGTTGGTTTCCTGCAACTGTTTAAGTCTATTCCTTATCTACCACAACACCTAGCTCTATTCATATTCTAAGCATTAGACTTGAAGCAGAGCTTTCAGGATGGCAAATACTGCATTCTGGTTTGAGTAAAACTACAAGGGCCTGGGGACTGGTCTGCCCTTGCTATACAAAGTGATGAATGATAGAAGGAAGAATGAATAATTTACAAAGCAAACAGAAAATCATTTCTAGTTTGGGCTTCTCTTCCCCAGTATGTTCCTTCCAGTTTCCATCCCAAGTAATTCCTTGACTTAGTGCTGGTTATGCTTTATGACCTGTTTGGATGGAAAGTTCCCTTATCCTTGCGAGCACTGCAGTTGCTTTGACACTACTTATGGTTTGCAGCAGGTTCGGATCTAAAAATGGCACAAACCAGGTACTTTTGACTCCTTGAATCCAAACTTTTGAATCCTAACCCTTTAGCTCTACCTACATCTCTTGGAAGACTGGGGGGGGGGGGTCAGGGTTACATACTTTTTGAATAAGGAAATATTGTGACCATATCCAAATGTGCCCCAATGTGTTCCTTCTTGTAGAAAACTTGTGATATTTTTTTGGCTGCCATCTCTTACATGTGTGTATTGCACTTAGCATAAGAAAGCCCTGGTCTGGTTGACCTCTAGGTGTGCTTGTACACTTGATGAAAATTTCATTTGTGTGGCTTAATGGCATTACACGTTACACATGTGCCAATTTTAGGGGCTTTAGATGAGTTTGCATCATTATAAACTAAACTACATATGGATGTAATTTAGTTTGCAATGTTGCAACATTGCAAATTGCAATGATGCAGCTCTCAGCTCCCCCCTCCAGCTGTGGGAGAAGTGGGCAGGCTCTGCAGAAAAAAAGGATCAGGCCCCTTGCCGTGTCTGCCGGGGTCTGCACCCTGAGTGGACTTGGGGAACAGTTGGATGGAGGCAGGGGCAGCACTCGGTCTGCTAGCAGCTCCCCTGAGTGGCCCAGGGGGCACTGTCACTGTGGAGGGAAGGACCAGGGCCCCCCGCAGCTGTGGGGCCACTTGGTCTGTTTGCTGCTCACTTCCTGGCTGCAGGCAGGTTCCGACTCTGACACAAAAAGAAAAAAGAAAGGATCGGGGCCCTCGCTGTAACGTGATGGGAAAATTGAAATGGTGGGCTTTGATTAAAAACCCACCATTTCAATTTAGGGGGCCTAGAATAAAACCCTGAGGACTAAACCCCCATCATGTGTACAAGCACCCCAGGTTTTACTAGAGTGGAAATGTCAAACAACATCAATGAAGTACAGAATTTACACTATTTCCAGTATCTATTGATTGTTTGCTGATCTACCTTTTTTGCTCAATTTTACAGGGATTGAACCAATACCCAAGATGTATGTTGCTGCTTCAGGTGCTGGGAAAAATGCACAGAGCTAATGTTTCTTCTCAGGATTATTCTGAGTTGGACTGAGGATGTGGACACACTATAGGGTTATCAGAGAGCAGTATATCTCAGATTTTACTCTAGTAAATTTACTCTGTAGTAGGGGCAGATATTTGACTTGCTTACCCTACCTAGCTGCCATTAGTAGGTTCCATTACAGTACCTGGCCACTGGGTAGTAGAAAAGGCAGTTTGCACTAGGCAATCATCTACCTCAAGGTGAAATTGACTGGTGAAGTAGACCTATGAAACTTATACCAGTATATAATGGGTTGACTTAAAGTGAGGTGAGGTTGCATATCTTGCTTCCATTCCACTCTTACCCCAGAGTAAAGTCAAATTACTTGGCAGTACTACTGGCTATTCTGTCTTAGTGTGACTGGACCTGAACTGCATAATTGGCCGACCTGTTTGATCAATCTGACAGATAATGAGATTTTTGATAGTGAACAAGAGCTTCATTGACAGATTAATGGACTTGATTCTACCTTAAAGTCTTTCATTAGATATTCAGACTGTTGCCTTCCTCTCTTCTGGAGGAGCCATTTTACTTTTGCTATCTCCAGCAACCCAAAAGGCCATGGTTAACTATAAGAGGAGTCCAGTATCACCAATATTTGGTGTTTCTTTTTCTCACAGTACTATATAGTGCCTTTAGTGGGCAGAGTACATAAAGACATGAGAGCTTCAAAAGCTTTCCAAAGCTCCTGAAATCTTCTATGGCAGTATTGCACATGGCCATAATCATGCCCAGAAGAAAATACCTACTTCTACCTACCCCTTCTCCATGATGATCTCTTCTGAGTTGA